CAAAGGGTGTTAGTTTACAAGAACCTTTAATTTGAGTATAGTGTCATATTTTCCCTTTTTGGTAAATTTATATGTGGATTTTCACCTCTATCGTTTATGTCTATATCATCTTCTTCTTTGGCGGAGAAGAACTCCCCACCTTTTCTCTTTTCTATGAAATGAGATAATCACTTGACTTCGTTGTTGTTGCAATTTTATTTCAGCTTCCTCGCCAATTTTTCATTTTGTGTAGCAATCTACTAGAATATGTCATCGAGATTTTCTTAGTTTTTTTCGTAGGTGAGTTGGCTTACAACGTCACATCTTGTGTCTACAGTTCTGTTAACAAATTGATTTTAGCTTTACTTTTTATTTACAGTTAAATATATTATCAATCATGATTTAAGTAATTTTTAAAACTTAAGTCAAAAAATAAAAATGAAAGGTTTTATTCTAAGTAAAAAAAATATTATTGTAAAATTACTATAGGATATCATTTTATTTTATTTTATTTTTTATCATTTAATTTTTACAGTTACATTTAGATATAAATATATCAAAAAAATTTACAGACTAAACTTTAACATTCCAACCAATCGCTCTTAAAATAATACATTATGAGTACTCACTTATCGTTAATGTCACATATTCTACTATTTGTTGACATTCTATTTAAGTCCGTCAAAAATCAGAAAGATCAGATACAATTAAATGAGTATCTTTTATAAAAAAAAATCAACTGACAGTAAAAGTGTGAAAAATCTTACACATGATCAACATCAACAACGACACAAGATTCACATCCTTTTCTCGACCTCTTAATGGTCAAAATGAACATATTCACAAAATACGAAACACCTTTGAAGATTTTCACCATACCAATCACGACACATATGTAATACATCCACCAGTTCAAAAAGTCAAAACCATCCAAACTAGTCAGAAGCTTACGTTTAACCTCTGCGACTACCACCAAACTTTCTACCTCGTCTCTTAGCCTCCACCACCACATTAGACCAAAAGTCACAGCCACGACCGCTCTCTCCGACCATCTCTCCTCCTCCACGTAAACCCCAAAAACAGTGTCGTCGACCACCGGCTTTACCACGACTCTAAACCACATCAGCATCACTTCGTGTAGGCCTAAAAAGAACATAACCCTAACCAAGACCCACCTTTCTTGTGACACAAGAAATAAGTTTTCGTCTGGATTTGTTGACATAGTGATGCTCATGATTCCTTCGATTCCGAAGGCGACGCAAGCTTGGACGAGGAAGAGAACGATCCAGCAGATGTAGAGATGGGAATGCAAAAGAGAGCATTCTGGTTTTCCGGAGAGGTTGTTGATTAAAGTGGAGACGATGATGAGAGACAAGATTGTGTATAAGACTCCGACATCTGCTTGATGGAGAAAGGAGGATACGCGGGAGACGGTGACGGGAAGTGAGGAGATAGAGAGACGTGAAATGAAGAGGAACGAGAGAGGGATGAGGAGGCTAAGGAGACTAATGGATATCATTTCAAATGCTCGAAGCAGTGGCCAGTTGCCTCTTGTGTTCTTCTGTGCTACTTCACCTTCCATCTTAATCACAAGGAAATGAAACAATGAGAAGAAATGAAAAGACTCTGTCGCTTGGATGAGAAGAAACTTTGATATATATATATATATATATATAACTTTTAGAAAGTGTGTTTGGCAAACACGTTTATGGACGGACGTCTAACTTCAAAGGTTCCTTTCTAAATTCGTCCCTTTGATTTTTTTTGTTTGTAACATCTCCATTTGATCTATTATTTAAACACTCTCCAATTCTTTTCTAGATGAAAATAACTAACAATTTTCATATATGTTAGCCGGCCGTTGGATATTCCTTTGGGTTGGTTCTAATTTATTTTTGAGAAAATAATATTTATGTGGACATGTTAATACTTTAAGCTAAAACTCGCGTTAAGCGTGGTGGTTACTACAAGTTGGTCATATTGAAAATGATGTTCCAATTGACTTTGACCAATATGCATCCGACGAACCCAACATATCTTAGTGTTCCGCCATTACATGGATAAACTTGCTTCATATCTATTCTTAAAAATTTAATCGAGAATACGTGTGTATATAATACTATATGATAATATTAGTATTTCAAGGTCCTAAATGACAGGTAATAACTCAATAGAAAGTTAGTTATAAATCCTTTTGTTTAAAATTGACATCTTTATTAAGAGTAGTGGAGTTGTAACTTTCAGTTTCGAAATAAAAGTCAAATAAAAATGCTTCAGTTGGGTAAAATCTTCTTAAGTTCTATCCATGACCGACACAAAAACACAGTTAAAAGGTAAAGCATCGGCTGTAACTTTTTATTTTCACTTAAGAAATTAAACTACCTTTGTTTCCACAGTTTAACCGATCACCAATTGACAGTAGAATGATACGCAGAAATAACAATGGCCAATACAAATGATCCAAACATTACAAAGTCATTGTTATTCAATCAACAGCAGAGAAAGAAAACTTTACTTGTTCTTCATGTATGTATCAGCTACTGATTTTGATTTCATTTAGAATATAACGCACATTTTAATGGAAAGCCTAAGTCCAAGAGAAGGCCCATCAAAATAGAAGTGCTAAGCCGAAACAATACCTTCAGGCGATCAAGCTGCTGCAAGTGGCTGAAGAGCTTTAAGAGGGTTCATGATAACACCATCGATAAGCCCATAATCTTTTGCTTCTTTAGCACTCATGAAGAAATCACGGTCTGTGTCCTGGTTTATCCTCTCTAGGCTTTGACCAGTCTGGTAAGCGAGGTAACCGTTTAGGTTTGCCTTGTGATGCAGCATTTCATTTGCCTGTTTTCAAATCATGAACTTGCCAGGTTAGGTTTAAAAAAATCAAACTGACAATTTTGAACTCAATCTAGTCCCTTCAAAACACTTAAGACAAGGTATAAAAAGGCGTTTGTTGAATGACCTGAATGTCGATATCGGTTTGGCCACCTTGAGCTCCACCAAGCGGCTGATGGATCATTATCCTTGAGTTTGGCAGACTGTATCTTTTCCCTACAGATATGACAAATAAAGCTAAGCTCGCACCAGAAAATTGAGAAGAACAGAGTTAAACCAAAGCTTTAACTAAGAAATGAAAGGATTATGAGCGTACCTTTGGTTCCAGCACTAAGCAGAAATGCTCCCATACTGTACATTAAAAACAAACACAGAAGAAAGAAAGGTGTTACAATCCATGCAAACTCACATTATCAATACAACAAACAAGGATTTTGTTTTCCATAAATGCTTTTGGTCATGCATCTAACCAAAAGAACAGCTAAACAAACACACTGAATAAACTAACTATTCACCAAAGACCCTAAATGAGAGTTAAAAGGATGGTTGAACGTTTTACCTAGCAGCTAGACCGACACAAACAGTGGAGACATCAGGTCGGATATGCCTCATAGTATCGAATATAGCCATGCCTGAGTAAAGTAAGAGACACAAAAGTCATCAACACAGAAAATCCAAAAACATACACAAAGATAAACTATATCTGAAACAAGTAAAAGCTAAGAAAGTGTTATTGTTACCAGCAGTAACTGATCCACCAGGAGAATTCACATACATGACTATATCCTATCCAACATAAACAAACACAATCAGAATCCTAAGCACTCTATCATTGTTGAATCAAGGAACAAGATATAAACCTAACCTTAGTAGGATCAACAGCATCAAGGTAGAGAAGCTGCGCAACGATGATATTCGCCATATCATCATCCACAGCACCACCACAACGAATAATCCTCTAAACATCCAAAAAGAAACCAATTCATCAAAAAGCTGGAAAAACTTTTGATAATCTTTTAAACAAAGAGAGAGTATTACTTACATATTGGAAGAGCTGGCTTATGATACTCTGGAAACGCTCTTGCACCATAGGAGGAGGTCCTTGTCCTTGCGCATACACAGGGAAATACGGCGAAGACGGGACTTGCAAATCATCTCTGCTCAAGTAAACATATAGTTTCAGATTCAACCATCAAAAAAAACATCACAACATATCGTCAAAGCTCAAAAGCTTCACCTGATGGACCAAACTCCTTGAGGAGAAGGAGTCTCCGGCGTCCAGAGATTCTTGCCGGAGTATACAGCCTTTGGTGACGTGTTCTTCCGATTCTTTCTCTCGCTAACTAACTTCTCCGTCTTTCTGCAAACATAACTAACTTTCAAAAATCCCTGAATTAATTTTAAGATTTCGCGTAAGAAGAAACAGTACCTTGAACGAAGAGGGAGAGAGAGCTTCTGAGAATCGAAGGATGAGGCGTTGGGACTCGCGGAGACGAATCCGGATGTAAACCTGAGGGAAGAAGCCGAGGTTGAGACGCAAGCGTGAGCCATCTTCTTGTTCAGTTAAAACCTAATTCCGTCACCGGCGAGGCTTATCCTTCCGAGTTTTGGGGATTTTTTTTTTTGGTTTCGAAGAGTGACTAATCTGACTACAGTGACTAGAGAGGCTCTAATTGCTTATCTGTTTTGATAACGGGTCGGGCTTTAAAGCCCAGTGGATCGGGTCAATTTCTGGTTTGGAGAATGTGTTGGTTTATCTAGGCCTACGCATTTTTCCCGATCCAAAACCCGAATATCAATTAGATCTAAATTCTTCTAAGAGCCGGAACCAAAAAGAACCGATTCGAATGAACTCGGATCCGAAAAGAATCGATTCATATCTAATTTAAAAGCATGAATATCGAAAACTATGATTTTGTATGTTTTATTTTCTATATTTTCTTTTAGTTATTAGTAATTTATTTTAAGTTTTTTTGTAAAATTTTAGATATACAAGACATTTTTTACTAAATTTAATAAGATTTAAGTATTTTATGTCTTTTTCAAATATTAAATATCTGAATTCGACCTGAACCTAACATGGACTTGAAAATTACGGATATTTTATAGGTACTTTAATTATATACCCAAACCGATATGGACCCGAGAAAAATAGACCCAAACACAAACCGAAAATTTACAAACACCTATTAGATTCAAATTTTTAAGACTCGGATCCGAGAAGAACTGGTCCGGATCCGACCCGAATGTCCAGACCTTGGTTTATCCATGCTATTAATGATAATTTTATTGAAAACAAAACAAAAATTTCATTTAGTATATAACCTAGGTTTGACTCTCTCATGACTCAAAAAAACTGTGAATCCCTCACATAAACATATCAGTTAGAAGCAGTCATGTGAAGCTGCACAAGCGATGCATAAACCCCACCCTCGATTTTGATCAACTTCTCGTGCGTTCCTTTCTCAGCGATCACACCGTTCTTCACCACAGCGATGACGTCAGCGTTTTTAATAGTTGATAACCGGTGAGCAACAACCACTGTGGTCCGGTTCACCATCACTCTGTCAAGCGCTTCTTGAACCACTCGTTCTGATTCTGCATCAAGAGCGCTCGTTGCTTCGTCCAAAAGCAATATCTTCGGTTCTTTCACTATGGCACGTGCAATAGCCACACGCTGTTTCTGTCCTCCTGATAGCTGAATCCCTCTTTCTCCTACCACCGTGTCGTAACCCTAAACAAAAGTGTATTGCTTGAGTCATAAGTAAACGTTTAAAAAAGCAGATTAAACAAAACTTTTTCCTTTACCTGTTGTATGCTAGAGATGAAATTGTGTGCGTTGGCTAGTTCAGCAGCTCCTAGAATTTCAGACTCGGTCGCTGCCTCTTCGCTTCCTTTGCCATAAGCAATGTTGGCTCGGATGGTGTCGTTGAACAAGACAGGCTCTTGTCCCACCAGTCCCATTTGTTGTCTCAACCATTTGAGTTGCAGACTCTTGAGCTCAACTCCGTCTAGAGTTATGTTCCCGGAATCCGGATCGTAGAATCTTTGCAACAGCGAGATCACCGTTGATTTCCCTGACCCACTCTCTCCGACCAAAGCAACGGTCTGAGAACAAAGAGTGCCAAAAAAAATGATCAGATATTTGAATGATAGTAAAGTTCTTACTAGAAATTTGGTCCGATTTTACCTTTCCTGCACGAATGGTTAAGCAAAGATCACGAAAGATCTGAATGTCTGGTCTTGCTGGATAAGTAAAGCTTATGTGACGAAGCTCGATATCTCCCTTAACGTTCTCCAGTACCGTCCCTGACTCATCACTCGAATCTATCTTTGATTTTCTATCGATGATTCCAAAGATGGACGCAGCTGCAACCTTAGCCTTGCTAGAATCAGGAGCAAAAGTACTGGACTGAGAGATCCCAATAGCTGCCATTGTTAATGCAAAGAACACCTGCAAAAGATTCAAATCAAGATCATTACTAGGTCACAAAGTTTTTCAGATATATTTAAGACAAGTACTTTACCTGGAAAACATTATTGAAAGTAGTCCTGCCGGCTTCAACCAATCTAGCACCCGCGTAGAAGCTTGTGGCGTAGACACTAAACAAAATAAAGAAGGAGAATCCAAACCCTAATCCACTGATGAAACCTTGTTTTATCCCGTCTTTAATCGGACCTTCGCATTGCTTCTTATACATCTGCATCACTTTCTCCTCTGCGCAGAAAGACGCCACTGTTCTTATACTCCCCACTGCATCGTTAGCCACCTGACTCGCATCCTCGTACTTCGCCTGCAAAGTTATCCAAAGCCAATTTAAGTACCTTGAGTCACAAGAAAACAAAAAAAAACAGAGGATGTAACCAACCTTAGCATCCGCGGTGAATCCTTTCATGAACTTGACTTGAATATAACCATTGAGACCAATAAGAGGAAGCATCACTAATATTATAAACGCCAATTCCCAGCTTGCGGTGAACGCTATGATCAATCCAGACGCAGCAGAAGCAGCGTTTTGAACCGCTAGAGACAACGCGTCTCCAACCAAAGCCCTAATCAAAGCTGCATCAGCTGATAGCCTTGCACCCATCGTACCGCTCGAGTTCTGTGGCTCATCGAACCACCCAACCTCCATGTGAACCGCTCTCTCAAAACACATTGATCTAATCCGTTGAATCAGTTTCCCTCCCGCTACTGAAAACAAATAGGTTTGAACCGGTGAGACGATCAACGAAGTAACACCAAGAGCTACGAATATAATCGCCCAGAATCTCGAATCTTTCTTGAGTTGGTCAGCCGGTTTGAAAAACGCTTCGATGACTCTCGAAATCAAAATCCCGAAAAGCGGGAAAATCGCGCCGTTGATGGCTGCAGCAACGGTTCCTAGAAGTAGAACCGGGATCTCGGTTTTGTTTAAAGCCGCGATCCTGGTTAAAGATACTTTTGGAACCGGTTCTTGACTCGATTTCTCTTGACCTACCCTCTGGCTCACGCTACCGCCACCAAGGTCTAGCCCCGCCGCTAAAGCAATAACATTCAGCGAATGGTGACGGCTACTATTCCCAACGGAGGACGCCCCGCTGCTAATAACCGATCCTCCTTCCATAGATTTCTTAAGATTCGAACTCCGGAACGATGGTCCAGACGCAATCTCTGATGATGTTTTGGCATCATGTCCTTTGTTAATCTCTTGTAAACGAATCAGCTGTGAATAAGCTCCTTCAACATCTCTCAACAGTTCAGAATGCGAACCTTTCTCCACCATTTTCCCGCGGTGAATAACCGCAATCATATCCGCATTCCTAACCGTGCTTAACCGATGCGCAACAATAACCGTAGTCCGGTTAACCATCACTCTATCCAAAGCCTCTTGCACCACTCTCTCGGATTCAGCATCAAGCGCGCTCGTCGCTTCATCGAGAAGAAGTATCCTCGGATCTTTGAGAATAGCTCTCGCGATAGCTATCCTCTGTTTCTGTCCACCCGAGAGCTGAGTCCCGTGCTCTCCCACCATCGTATCCAACCCCTGAGGCAACTTATCTATAAACTTTGCCGCATTTGCTAGCTCAGAGGCCGCTTTTATCTCTTCAACCGTCGCGTTCTCTTTCCCGTATGCTATATTCTCCATAATGCTCGAAGAGAACAGAACCGGTTCTTGACTAACCAAACCGATCTTGCTTCTGATCCATTTCAGCTGAAACTCCTTGAGGTTAACACCGTCTATTAGTACTTCTCCCGATTTCGGATCGTAAAACCTCTCGATTAAGCTGATCACTGTTGATTTTCCGCTTCCACTTTCTCCTACTAACGCTGCCGTTGCGCCGCTGGGGATGAAGAGGGAGAAGCCGTTGAATATGTCCTCGTCTGGTCTCGCCGGGTAGCTGAAATGAACGTCTTTGAGTTCGATGTCTCCTCTAATGTCTTCAAGAACCTTTCCGTTTACGTCGTAAGCATCTATCAGAGGCTTTCTTTTAATGGTTTCGAACATCTTGTACGCTGCAGCTTGACCCGCTGCAAATGCGGTTAGACATGGAGATGTTTGCCCTAACGACCTGAAAAAAAAAAAACAGAACATAACTGTTAGGAATCTTATTGTGTCTTATAGTATATAGTGTAAATGATTTTTTTTTTTATTACTTACATTGAACCAGCGACCACAATGATGATCACGTTGATCACAGACCCACCGGTATATCCTTTTTCAACAATCATTTTTCCTCCAAACCAAATGGCTAAAGCATAGCTGCTAAAGAACACCATGAACATTACTCCGAGTCCTAGACCAGTAGAGAAGCCTTGTTGAATGCTTTGTTTATATGCCGAAGTTATGAACTTCTTGTAGCTGTTTATGGCTTGTTTCTCTCCCGTGAAGGAAGCAACCTATAAAACAAAACAAAACAAAAAGGAAAATTTAGAAACAAATCTCAGTGAAAGAGTGTCTTTTAGGTTTATAATTTTATTACCGTTCGGATAGAACCAATTGTCTGTTCAACAACAGTTGCTGCTTTGGCATAAGCGGCTTGTCCTCGGGAAGAAGCTCGAGTGACTATAATTGCCATGGATCCACCAGCCATAGCCAGAAGAGGAATTGAAATTAACATAACCAGTGTTAATAACCATCCTTTTGAAAAAGCTAATGCAAATCCACCGACGAATGTAGCTATCAACTGAATAAATTTCCCAACCTGCAAGATTCAAGGAGAAAAATATAACCTCTTTGTTATAAAATATTTAAGCTTGACATAAATATAATATTGAAATTTTCTCTGATCACCTTCTCACCCATGGCGTCTTGTATAAGAACAGTATCTCCAGACATTCTACCAACAACCTCTCCTGTGTTGGTTTCCACGTCGAAGAATCCAATGTCCTGTCTTAGAATTGTTTTCAGATACATACTCCTTATCCTCGCGGCTTGTCTCTCTCCCGTGATCATCCAAGAAGCCACCTCTACAACAACAACAACAAAATAAAAAACGTGTAAAAAATGCAACGGAGAAACAAAAAAAAAAAAAGCACTTACGAATAAAGGCTGCTCCTAGGGTTCCAAGTCCAAGGTAGACGAATTTAAGACAAACCTATAAGAGAATAACATTATTAGTAACTATCAGTTATATTAAGTCATGAACACATAACTAAAGAGTTCCAAAAGGTTATAATGTTCTCAAGACTACTTACTTTTGAGATGACGTCAACAATGTCTTTGTTGTTCTGGTTTTGTCCAAATGAATCAATGAGATCACCAAACAACAATGTCATGAAAGGTAAGCAAACACCGTTCCCAACCGCTCCAACTGAGCCACAGATCATCAAGAACACATCTATGGAATCTGCAAATGCAAATAGCTTGTAGAACGGAACTGTCTTCGTCTTTTCATCGTTTTTTTCCTTCTTCTTATCTTCCTCGTCTCCTTCTCTGGCTTCTTCACGGTTCATCTCCGGAGCTGGCAGAGAAAATAAATATTTCGAAAAGTTATAAATCTGATAAGACCCAGAACGAGATCAACGGTATTTATGAAGAGAATTTGCTAATGTAAATCTAAAACCCCACTTGATAGGAAAAAGATTTGTCCTTATAAATAAAATTTTCAAACTAAAGTAAAGAGTTACCAGAAACTATCACCAATGAAACAGAGTCTGTTAGGAAAAAAAGAGTCACATGTTTTGGATTACCCGAAAAACAGTGATCAATTAAAAACATACCATTCAGAAACTGAAAAGGAAAGAAGTTAAAAGAGAACAGACCTGAAGATGGGAAGATGCGAAAAGCGAAAGGTTTGTGGGACTTTGAGGGAATAAGACGTGAGAGACGAAACTGTGAACTTGTTATAAACTTTGTTTAGTTCTTATTTTATTCATCTTTGTAGATTCCAATTTGTATCTGCAGAAATTAAGAACATTGTTGGCCTTTTTATATGCAATCCTTATTTTTGGGTTTTGTGAAAATTGCTTGAGAAGCAAGGGGAAATGGGAATAAACTAATGTTTTTGTTCAGTCAAAAAGCATCATCATTATTCATTTTGAAGTTTATTTTCAAAATAATGTCTTCTTTTTTTGCATACTCCCAACAATTATCGTTTTGGCTTTCAAGGACAACATATATATGCTGTATATGAAATTATTTCTTCTGTAAATTCAAAAAGAAAAACTAAAGAATTCTGATGCAGAATTTATTTGACGTCAATTTAGGTTATTGTATAAAAACTACAAACCAAATGATCAACTAATGTTATGCACACGAGACTTGACTGGCTTTTATAAGAAATGTTAGATAGGATAAAACTTACCACTACCAGACAGGATTTTTGGTTGGTTTTTCATTTTTTCCCAACAATAAACATGATAATCTTAAAATTATCATACTATCCACACACAAAAAAGCCGTACATAACGGGATAATATGTAAAAAATTATGATAAGAGAAAATAAAAATAATTTGGTCAGTAAACATATAAATATGTTAGCAAACAAAAATTTGTTGTTAATTTGTTTTTTCTTAAGTAGCTGTCAATTGAAATTATAATATCATTTACGAGCTACGTGAAATCACATCTAGTCTTGTATCAAACCAACGCATATTCTTCTAAAACAGATTTTTAAAACAGAAATCATGATCAAATACTCTTATCAAGGATCCAATTGCCTCTTAAATAATATCGTCTAATTATTATAAAAGGTTCATTATGTGTCATACAATCTTGGAGATAATTTAAACAACGGAGCTGGAGAGAATTTTCACTTTAAAAGACCTTTGACTACTTCCTTGGCAACAAAGAAAGACAACAAGTCAACTTTATATATTGCAGTAAAATATATCTCACCCCCTTGAGAGATAAGACATCATTAGTGGCCAAGGCTTTTTGATAAGCACCACTGTTACATTATTAGTATTGATAGCACTAAAATCATACAATTAGTGAGTGATTACTTTGAGATGACAAAAAAAAAAAAAAAAAAAAGTGAGTGATTACTTTGAAAAAAAAACAATTAGTCTGATTATAATCATTCGCCCGTCTATGTTGTCTTCTGTAATGAGGAACACATGGCATGATGTGTCTAAATTATAAAATAAATGATTCATAATGTTCAAATGCTTTGTAACCTAACCGATGTCACTTATGTTTATTTGTATGCGTCCAAAAGAAGAAGTTAACTTAATGCTGACTGCTCCCTTGTAAGACCGAAGAAAATATGGACACTGTGAATTAAATATAATATGTCAATGGTTTGATACAATAATTAAAATAACAAAACAATTCACATGTCAGATCAATTTAAAGCATAGGCTATATAAAGATGTTGTAGCTTGCAGGGCTGATTAAGTACAAGGACATCTCATAACCATATATAATAGTGATTTCCTGTATTAAAGTTTTGTTAGTTTCAACTTTCATGCAAAATGTGTGATTTAGTTTAAATTTTTTGTAGGAAAATATTTACAAAAAAAAAGAGATTTTACGTATACAAACCTACTAATTAAAGAGAGTGTTTAAAAGATCTTAATACACGTATTTAATTTGAAAGTGCTAAACTAACTAAAATATTAAACTCTGTGAAAACTAACTAGAAAAAAAGAGAACCGTCACTGCTTGCGTCACCATTACAAACACATCACACGCACAAGAATTTTTTCTTGTACTATCTTGAAATCAGACAGAATGAATACATCAAAAGTTTAATTAATGTATATCCGATATTGTCAAGGAGGTCGCAATTCCTAGTTCCCCGCTAGTCGCTAGATGCTATTTGGCATTATCTGTTTGATTACGTTCACGTTGTCGTATTTCAAATCCTGAGAGGTGATGATGATACAAGGCTAAATCATTCATATTGGGTATTAATGGGCCTTGTTTGATTACGTTCACGTTGTCGTATTTCAAATCCTGAGAAGTGATGATGATACAAGGCTAAATCATTCATATTGGGTATTAATGGGCCTTATTAATTAACTGTTTTACTAAGATTCAAAGTAGACCTGCGAGAAAAAAAATGAACCGAACCAAAATATCCAATCCGGAACCGAACCAAAACCTTTAAATATCCGAACGGTTCTTATATTTATATACAAAATAAGTGAACCGAAACCAAACGAATATCCGAATATATAATAATATTAATATTATATACATATAACATAACCAAATATATGATTTTAATTTAAAAATCTATTAGAAGTATCCAACAATAGTTGAAAATAACTAAATAATTATAAAGTATCCGAACGATTTGAAAATATACATATAATGTTATCCAAATATCCAAAGTAATCCGAATAATCCGAATATCTAAAATTTATATCTAAATCGTTCTAATTATTTGATATTTTATCCTAAATAACTGATAATTTACCTGATCCCGAACTTAATGAGAACCGAATTTTCTAGGTATTTTCTAAATCCTAGTTTTATTATCCGAACTAAACCAAATCTGAAATTATCCGAAACGAACCGAAAATCCTAGTTTTACTATCGGAACTGAACCAAATCCGAAACGAACCGAATCGAAAATAGATCAAATAGTAAATAGATTTTCTTACTCCCTATTCGAAACCCGAAATACCCTCCCTATCCGAAATACGTGAACCGATACCCGAAAAAGTAATTAATTGCGGTGAGCGTGGATCGAACACGCGACCTTCAGATCTTCAGTCTGACGCTCTCCCAACTGAGCTATCCCCGCTGTTGACTTAGCAACAAAATATGTTATTAATAATATGTTCTAATACGTGCGGACGAAGATAGTAAACAGAGCAAATCTCCGACCATTTGTGTGGTTGTGGAGGTTTTTAAACTTCTAGTTTTTTTTTAATACATGAAAGAAAAACAAAAGAAGCAAAAAAAACAGAGCTAAGATTCAATGTCTGTAACAGCAATTCACATGAACACGATCAATCACTTGCCAACAACCTGTAAAACCCTCAATCTCCAGTTGCCCATCTGCTCCAATCACAGATTCGCTCTCTGTATTCGTCGTAATCCCAACTATTCTCTGTCTCAGTTGCTTCCAAAAACCCTAAATGGCTACTCCTCTCACTCTCCTTCGTCTTCTTACGTCAATCGAAGATCGAGATTCAACACTCGTAAACGCTTATCTGTTTCCATGGAGTGGCAAGACTGCACGTAAAAACTCTCTTTTCTCTGTTTTTTTTTTAAAATTTACTTAGGAAAGTTCGATCCTTTATAACTGATAATCTCTGTCAAGTAACAGTAGTTTAGTATTGAAATTGAAATGAATCTAATTTCTATTTTGTGTTGGTTTTGGAGAATCAGAGTGAAGATGGAAGTAGATGTTCCAGTATCAGTAGCTTATAACTTCTACTTGGATCGTGAGTCTTTTCCTAAGTGGATGCCTTTCATTTCATCCGTAGAGGTTCTTTTTCAATGTCCTTTAACTATCTATGAGTGCTTAGCTTCTTTGCTTTAGATTTTTTAGTTAGTTTGATTGTGTTGTGAGATTAGGTGTTAAAGGACAAGCCTGACCTATCACGTTGGTCACTCAAGTACAATGCTTTTGGACAAGACATTAAGTATTCTTGGCTTGCTCGCAATCTTCAGGCAATTAATTAATCCATCCTTCTTTTTTAAATCCCTGCTTTTTTTTTGTGTGTTTGTTAAGTTAAGTGTTTGACTTTTTTTTTTGTATTCTTTTTTTTTTGGATGCAGCCTACTCCTAATCAGAAAATTCATTGGAGATCTCTTGAAGGTCTTCCTAATAAGTAAGCAATGAGATCACAAAGTTTCAAGTTTCTTCTCTTCTCTCTTTATACCTGAGAGACTAACATTGTTAACTTAACTGATGCAGAGGCAGCGTTCGGTTCTTCCCTAAAGGTCCTTCATCTTGCCTCGTTGAGGTAAACAACATTCTGTTTTGCTCTTACTACACATCTAGAGATCATGCTGACCCTCTTTAACTTGCATGCTATCTTTTCAGCTAACTGTATCATATGAAGTCCCTGCTCTTTTAACCCCTGTGGCATCGGTGAGTATCCAATTGTTTTCAACTTCAAACCTCTCTATGTGAACAGAACAGACTGTTATATCTTATACCTTGTTTTTGTTGGCTTCAATTCAGGCGCTCCGGCCCTTTTTAGAAAACTTGCTTAGAGGTGGACTTGAAAGATTTGCAGCCTTGGCTAAAACCACTTAAAATGAAGGTTAGCTTTATACTCTGTAAGACTTATTGAACAAAACCTTAATACACCTAAACCATTTCATTATCTGAATAAATATCAACACTTTGAATTTTCAGGAATCTGTATGTATACATCTCTGTATGTTTATGATTCTGGGCTTTTAAGGATTTCTCTTTACATGTCCCATGATTAGGGAGGGCTTGTCTGCTGTGACTTTTGTATTCTTAAAGTTACATCAATCTTTCTTTCTCTCATAACAGAGTTTCTGGTTTAGCTCACCAAGAAAAAAAAAAGAGAGAAATTTTAAATAAACCAACCAGAAATTATGGCTGTGATATTGAGTGAAGCCCTCCAAGAAGAACAAAACAAACCAAACAAGAAACTAAGTCACGCAAACAGAGTTTTCTTCTTTTCTATTTTCGTTGATTGTCTAAACACGCCAACACACTTTGCGTGGAGTGTGATAACATTTAAAAGAAGACACTAAAAGACATTGAGGTTGTTCCTTAAAAGTCTGTTTTCCTAATTTTGGTACTTTGGCAAAGCAAACCTACTTCATAAAAATCTACGAATACCCCCCCATATGATCAGTTCCGAATCTCTTTCTCTCTAAAGACCAAAAAGAAAATGTCATCAATAGCTTCTGGTACAGTTCCAACCACCAAATCCTCTGCTTGTTTCAGAAGAATCCAAAAGTCTCCAACCTTTTCATCTATGCTTCATCATCCATCTTCTCGTTCAATGTTATCATCGTTATCTTCTTCCTCATCACCTGCCTCTGCAAAACTCCTAAACTCTACCAATGGCTCCTCAAGTTCTTCATCTCATGTACCCTTCAGACCCGTTATGCGCAGCAGCAGAGAAGCTGATAGAACTGAAGAAGAAAGACTTCGCCAAGTTCACTGGCAAGACGTCACGTAAATTTCTTAAAACAACAAAAATGTTAAGTTTTATACTTTCTAGAGAGATTCTGCATATATAATTATTTGGTTTGGAATAAACAGGGTAGAGATGGTGGTGGATGCACCAGCTTCCGTGGCTTACAAGTTATACGCGGACCGTGACTTGTTCCCTAAGTGGATGCCTTTTTTGTCAGCTGTTGAGGTAAGCCTTACTCTTAAACAGAGTCTTAGAAGATTTCATTCTTTCTTTTTCTTATGGCTCCACAGATTATAACAATCTTTTGCTTCTCTTAGGAAGTGGAGGGCAGTCCAGATTTATCGCGGTATTTGGTGAAATTTGACTCTTTTGGAAAAAATATGGAATATCATTTTCTCGCAAAAAATTTACAGGTAAGTTTTACGTCAAAGTTAAGTATAATAATATCAACCAATTAGATTCTTTTACTCTTCGTAAGAATTTGAGTCTTGAATCATCTCAACAGCCAATCCCGGATCGAAAGCTGCATTGGAGGTCTATTGAAGGTTTTGCAAATAGGTAAACTCAAATTTCTTTTATATAAATTTAAACATCATTTAATTTTTTTTTGTATTTATCAAACAGAGGCAGTGTTCGATTTTTTCCTAGAGGCTCTTCCTCGTGCTTAGTAGAGGTTAGTAGTTATATCTTGTAACTAAGTTTCTCAATTTTATTACATATATGAAATTGTTTTTGGTTTCGTTTATTCACTCCTTTTTCAGATCAACTTTTCATTTGAAGTTCCACATGCTTTAGCTCCAGTTGCATTTGTAAGCCTATTAATAGTATTCGTAATTTAAATATGTTAGTATTTATCTATGTTTTTTTTTTTTTGGTGTCTGATGTTTGTTTTTCTTTATTGAACATTTTGTCTCAGTATATATTATGTATCTTTAAAAAATTTCAGTTAATGAAACCGTTTATGGAGGGGCTTATTCGTGGAGGATTGGAACGCTTTGCTGCCTTCGTGAAGACCACTTAAGTCAGAAACCAAGATTACGTTCTGTGCACTAATCCAAATAAATTGTTCTTTTTATGTAGTGTGTTTTGTTTCTGCTATTTGTTGGGATATATCATGTCCAAACATGATATAGTGTTGTTCTCGCTAGATTGCTATTTATCAGAACAATTATTTGTTGAATATTATTCGAATGTATACGTTTTCGTTACTAATTTTATTTGGAAATAATAATGATTATTAGCAGAAATAAAAAAAACTTAAACAGAGTTTGTTCTCATGCGATGTTTGTCTTACTTAACTCCTAATCTTAGGTCTAAAATCCATTTATACTTCGGCCTATGACAGTCCTAAATATTTTTGAATGGCCCTTATTAATAGAATGAGGAGAAAGGGAGTATCACCTCTCCAAGCAACTGAGGAGTGGTAGAAACAGTAAATGAGTGGGGTAAACTCATGCGGAATGTGTCACACAAGTCTCCTTTAATCATTTCGAATGTAGCCGACATCCCCACTCTTGTGTATGTATAATGTGGCCCGTTCGTTTATACGGTTGAAAAGTCTTGTTAGTTATGTTTAGATTCTTCGTTAGATGCCAAAACCAGTTGCATAAAAAACAGAATATTAATCTTGTAAAAACTTTAAGAAGATCAGCAGAACATTAGTATACAAAACAGTATGTCGTACTTTTATTTGATACGTCTTTTCATGTAAAATATAAAAATAACAAGTTAGCATTAAAATTACGGGATTTACATATAAATTTAACGATTTATCGCATTCAAAGTTTCATGTGTACAAACAATAGCTTGTTTTTCCAACTGAACATGTTTCTGGTATAATTGTACATAGTAGTCCGAAACTTAGAGGAACTAGACAGAATAAATTTATATTTTTTCTAGATATTTAGTCTACGGTAAAGCTCTCAAGTTATTTGTGAACCAAAAATACTTCTATGTCTATATTAGTGATAGCTCTTTGGATAATTTAGAAGATGGAGCAAAGTATGGACTATTATGGAGACGTGCATTGGAGATGAAGCGAAGTTTATAGCTACCAAATCCTCTAGATTGGGGTAGAAGTTGGAAGCGCCAGTCTCTTATTCACACTCACAATTTTATACACACATGTGTATATAAAATGTATGCGGTATCTTAGTAAATATGAACGTAGCTTATTTCATATATATATGGACCCATATATATTTTACACGTATATTTTGTAAAGAAGCATGCCATATCTTCCATACTCTTCACAGACATGTTAGCGTCTTCTAGCCTATAGGTATTCTTAAGCACTTAACCTAGCCTCTTGCCTTATAGGGACCAACTTTTTCATATGGATCTCCATCTTAGATTATGACTTTACCTTCTATTTCAACACATTATTGCACAAATGTGACAAAAATAAGAAAAATACAATATTCTACAAATATATAATAACATAGTATATGCTCATTTAGTTAATAAAATCAACCTACAGATTACCGTAGCTCAATAAATAATTTTATGAAAATAGAGCATTCCAACTTTTTATAACTCTCAATAATTGGTTATCTTAGAGGCTAATATAAAATCTAACAAGTTTTGATGTAAACAACTATAGTTATATTTATATGTGATTGACAAGATCATTAAAAAGATCTTAATTAGCTTTGCTTATTTTCACATGCATTTTTATATTATATAATTTTCATTTACTTAAATTTTATAAATCAAATAAATTAAGAATACAAACAAAACTATTCTGTTTTCTAACATTTTGTCCGTACTCACAAGCATATTATGCAATTTTTTTTACATTACACAAAATGTAATATAATATACACACACCCAATTTAATCATATGCTAATCACATCTTTATAAAGTATCCGTACTTAACCTAAGAAAAAAATAGCAAATTCATTAGCTTTAGTTTTGAAAAAAAAACCATTGGCCTTATTATATCGTAATGTAGCCGCCATTTCTGTGTGGAGGATGAGGTCACAAGATGCACGTTAATTTATTTCATAATGATATTGTTGACAAAATAATTAAATTCATTATGCTCTTATATGACATTATAGAGTGGCTTAACTAAATTTACTAAGAGGATAAAATTAGGTATATGAGGTTGGCAGATAAATTTTAATTAAATAGTTGGTTAATAAAAAAGAGAATACTATAAGCCTTTTAAATTATGCCTTTTCATAAAAAAACTAACATCATGCCATCATTAAAATTAATTGATATTTTTATCTTAAAAACATAATGTTTCCAGATTTTATTTTTTGTTTATATAATCATGAATACTTAACGTTTTTACATTTTTTCTTACAAGTTCTTAACAGAGGTTTAGAGAAAAAGAAAAGTCCCTGATATTATCCACTAGTAAATTGGCATATCTACATATTCAAACGAGATTGCCGCAAAATGACGATGTAGATTTACAAGTAAGTGGCCACATATTGCTCAAGTAGGTGAAATGATTTCTTTTGTTTAAAAACCGAATATCAAGGACTAGTTGCAAAACTCAACTGTAATAAGATTAGCCAAGTAGAAAGGACGTCCGAACTCTTAGTGTTACTAGATCTCAGCTGTATATTAGTCCTACGATATATTTTGGAGAAATCGGTACATATTATAAAACCAAAAATCTTTTCAATAATAAAGGTAGTCCAAACCGAATGTAGAAAAGCAATTAACTAATAACTAGATTTTGAACCCGCACATCCGTGCGGGTATTTTTCCATTTTATAAAAATATAACAAAACATTTCAAATATATATAATTTATATTTATTGTTATATATTGTATAATTGTATAATCTTATAATTTTAATTATTTTTATATAAAATATTGTTGTAAGTTTTAAAATAAAAAAATTCATAAATAATCTTTTATATAATGTATTTGTTGTGAGTTACAAAAATATATGTTAACATTTTTGTATAAAAATATTTATCATTTAAAAACTTTAATATGTTTTAAAAGGGAGTGATATTTATTTATTTATTTAAAATAAAATATTTTTCTTTACCAATTTAATATATTTTATATTCATTTAAAATAGAATTTTATTTTAATATAATACAGAATATAACTAAATTATAAAATATAACAATGTTTATTTTTAATTAACATTAATATAAATATTTATATATATTAATCACGAAATTTAATAATGCATATATTATAAAAATATTTAAACTTCTTAGTAAGATCTTGTTAGATATTTTCTCAACAAATTTATTACTAATATCCTATTATTATTAAAATATTCATCCAATTATATATATTTGATTGATTAACATAAATACTTAAATATGTCATATTAATGAAATAGTCCAACATGACTTTTTGTAGTAGATATAAATGGTACTTCTCTTTTAATAGAGAAGATTGTTTCACTAATAATAACCCATTGTATTTATTAAACTAACTAAGTGATTTGGAAATTAGAGATTTGTAAATGGATAAAAATTAAGTATTGTACGAAACTGGAATTTTAATCCATGAGAAACAGACCAAGTAAATCTGTCTGTTGAAAAGCTTAAAATATTAGAATTTTGTTTTAAGAAGAGTTGGGGGTGGGGGGGGGGAGTAAAAAAGAAAGAGAGGGATGAGATGAGAGACACCAGACATAATTGAGTGTTCCACCGAAAAGTGTAGAGAAGGGCGGTGAAATTCTCAAATACGATCAAACAATAGTGTTTCTGGGTATACAATCAATAATGGTTGGTCGGTCGGTTCATTTTTATAATTCTATAAGTTATTCACATATTTTTTATAATTCAATAAATTATCCACATTAAAAAATAATTTGCTCCGCACCTTTTCTGTAAATATTAAATCATGAAAATGAATTAGGCCACTGAAGAAGCCGAAAGAAGTTAGATATAACCCACTCGTGGACATCCTCCTCTTGTTTTCTCTTAGAAAAATAATCAAGCTATATATATAATTTTTTATCGTAAGAACTGTATTTCATTTTTTCTTCTCAGTCATCTTTAGTGGAGAATAATTCTTTTTACATGTTAAATGTTTCGTCGCCTATTGAATAAACTGTCCCAAATGGCCAAATCTATTATATACATATCCTTCAGAAAAGTTTTTCAAAGCGTCAATAAACTAAATAAAAAGGGAATGAAAAATATTGTAAACCCTCCGTTTTAAAAAGATGTGTATTTTAAAGAAACTTTAGAAGTACTTAATTACATAAAGACAAAAACTAGTACGAAACTCTTTTTTATCATTACGCATTAAGAGGCTGATTAGAGTTTATTAATAATACTAATCCTAGTATGGTAATCGGGTTTGGACTCAAGGGTGTAGTGACGGCGACAGTAGCACAAACCTTGAAGGTAAAAATGATAGTCTATTACAAATAATGAATTATTGACATTAACTAGTGGTAGTATATCTACGTTAATATATTTTTGGTAAAAATCTACGTTAATATATCTGCATTAACAATAATATTGTAGACTGATACTTACAAAGCTAACCAAGATTAAACCGTTTGGACGTGAATTTTATCAACACATATACTGTGATAACGTTTCGACCGGCTCATAACTGTGTACGACTCATATTTACGAAGAGTTTTTTTTCAAAACTATGAAGAGGTTTATTCATGGATTACGTGTATACAGTCGTTATTTCAACATATTCCGGCTGGCTAATATTTTTTCTGCTTAAAACTAATAGGGATTCGTTCTAAAAAAAGAGATTTATTCATGAACTTAATAGATATACTGAATCATGACTAATATTATTACCCTGATTCAATTTGCAATGATGAATATATGCCCATATCTACCCTGCATGTCTTAAACTGTACCACACAGCTGAGCTTATACGCACGTACTATTATTTGAAAACAATCGAGACTATTTTTATAACTTAATTATAAATTAAACTATTAGAGTTTCTGACGTGCAACTGTGCAAGCCAATCATATACATATGATGAGGATATAAAAATTTAAATTTAGAAATTATTTATGTGGATTCTTTCATGCACGCTGCATCCAGAATATTCGT